ATTTATTTAAACCTAATATCAATATTATTATTATTATTAATCAACTATTTACAGCAAACACAAGATAATAGAAATTAAATCATAAAATCGAGTGGCCGAGTAGTCTCGACTCACCCATAACTTCTCCAAAGACGTCTATCATGAGCTTTGTACACTAAATCGTTGAAATTATTTAAACTAAATCTTTTATTTACAATCACAATAATTTGTTTTGTCATAATGTCTTTTAATAATAAATCAAATAAATTTGAACGAGGTCTGCCCCTCCTTCCTTTGTAGTCAAAACATCCTAAACATGCAAATCTGAATGATAAGAAGGCGGGAGTGTCATCACCGCTTCTGAGAACGTGCCCAAGCATCTTCCATCTTGCTTTCTTGATCCTTTCAGTAAGGGGTCTGACATTACATCTCTTATATAAATTCTCGTTACTGATAACCGTAGGCCAATAGGTGTTGATTATCTGTCTCAGATGCTTCCTTTGAAGAACGTCGACAGATGCCATTACGGTTTCAGGAGCAGTCAGTTCGGTAATGGTCTGAGAAACAGGAACGGTGAGTTCCTACTGGACTTTATTGTTGATAATGGTCTGTTTGCGTGCAATACTGCGTTCCAACACAAAGCGAAGCATATTACCACCTGGAAGGCTAGATGTGTTCCCAAGGGTAGACCCAAGGGTTCAAAAGACACTGTGAACTATTTTAAACAAATTGATTATATTTTATGTCGTACTAACTTTAAAGTCTGTTTAACAGACTCCCGCTCTTTTTGCGGTGATTTTGTGAAATCTGACCATAAACCTGTGGTCGCACGTTTTAAACTTGGTTGTGAATATATTGTACATAAGCGGCCCAGGTCTGACAAAATAAGGTTTGATGTCAATCGCCTTAATGATTCTGATATTAAGTCTAAATTTTTTGATTCCTTTAAAAGTAATATTGATTGTAGAGTTTTAACTAATAATGCTATTTCTGAAAACTCTGATATTTTTGGTATATTGAGTAAATGTGCCGTCCAGGTGGTTGGTAAAGTGCCCCCGGGGAAGCCTCATCAGTACAGCGACGATCCAACTGTCGTTAAACTTTCAGCAGAGAGAAAGTCCCTTCAGCAAGAATGTAGTCTCACAGGGATAAGCGACAGGAGTGACCTCAGAAAAAGAATCAACCATCTCAAACGTACCATCAAAAAGAGGTTGAAATCCATCAACGAGGCCACTGCTAACGCCCTAGTAGATGTCATCAACAACACCGACAGCTGCAGAAGCATGTTTGAAGCGAATAGAACTTTGGCCCAGTGTAGGATGAAGAAAGACGGAGTGACTGTCCACGATGCAGACGGGAACACCTTAGGTTCTGACTCATTAAAAGCAGAAGCTATTAAAGAATACTTTAATAATGAGTTCAATGACAAAGATGAACCCCACCTCCCAGCATTCATAGACCCTCCTGGAAGCCTCCTCTGTCCCATAACACCTGAAGAAGTTGGCCGTGCTGTTATGAAGCTGAAATCCGGTAGAGCGTGTGGCCCTGACGGTATACCTAATGAGCTAATGAAAGCTGCTGGATATCCCCTCCACTGTGAGTTGGCTAGGATCTATAATCTCTCCTTTGAGACCAACACATACATCCCAGCTATTGGAGAAGGTATCCTGACACCCCTTCAGAAGCCAGGAAAACCCCGAGGTCCGATAAAGTCTATCCGGCCCCTCACATTGCTAAATGGAACTAGAAAAGTCCTATCCCTCGTAGCCTTGAACAGAATCAATTACCACGTTGATATGTACACTGGACCTTGGCAGGCGGCATACAAGCAGGGTCGCAGTTGTGCTGACCTGGTATGGTCTCAGAGAATGTTGACATCAGTGGTTACCAGGCGCGAGTTTGAGTATAGTAAAATCAACATTGACATGACCGCTGCGTTTAATACCATCCGCAGACAGACCATCATCAACCTCCTCATTGATGCAGGATGCTCTAGAGACGACATTCGCCTAGTTCAGTACCTCCTCTCAAATACAAAGCTCAAGGTGACGGTCAACAGATCTGAGTCTGGTGAATTTGTGATTAATATTGGCGCTTACCAGGGGGACAGTCTGGCAGGTAAAGTGTTTACATTGACCCTTGCCGGTGCCCTGAATCACATCAGAGCCGTGATCAGTGTCACGATTCCTAGACCGAACCCCCCAGTCTCTGATAGAGGCCTCCCGTTAGAGTCCGCCTATGCTGACGATGCAGAGCTTCTGAGTGAAGATGGTCAGAGCCTGGTGAAGATACTAGAGATTGCCAGTGATATACTAAAGGATTGGAGTCTCTTTGTTAACGAATCAAAGACGGTGTTTACAAGAGTGTATTTGGCAGATACAGATGCTTTGGATGCCCATGGCAATAAAATTAGAGGAGATGAAGAGTGGCGAGAGTCAGTGCTATTAGGATCAAAGCTCTGCTCAGAAAGAGATATTGTCAACAGACGCAACAAAGCCAATGTTGCCTTCTACACCTACAAGAAAGTCTGGTTGAATAGTTCTGTTCAGATCAGTGAGAGTAGAAAGCTGAAGCTGTACGAAGCTCTTGTCACTTCAGTGTTGTTGTATAACTGTAGCAGCTGGGCTGCTCCTGAATATCAATATATTTGAGAAAATAATACTACTGTTATCATGTTCTTCATATCATTATATTATTATCTGTGAAAATAATACTACTGTTATCTTATTCTAAAACATCTTTTAAATTTTTAAAAGATTTTGTTTGATGTGTCAAGGTAATTGACTCGTTTTCAAATAAATTGATTTTCAAATAAAGGTTAAATTCGATAGATTTTTAGACTTAATCTCGAAGGTCCTTCATCAACCACCATCAGTGATGTAGGAATGATTCTACACCCCTGACCACCATAGTTAAATGGTATGGTGTGGGTGGTCGAGGCTCCGATTACAGGATTACATGTTGGGTTGTGTCCCGACTGTGGTTTATGCTACAGTCGGTTCTTTTGCGATAGTCAAAACGCGACAACTAGCGCTGGATGGCGACAACTAGCGCTATCCAGCGCTAGTTGTCGCCATCCAGCGCTAGTTGTCGCTATCCAGCGCTGGATAACGCTGGCCAGCGCAAAATATATATGTTCGATAATTGTCGCTATCCAGCGCTAGTTGTCGCCATCCAGCGCTAGTTGTCGCCATCCAGCGCTAGTTGTCGCTATCCAGCGCTAGTTGTCGCTATCCAGCGCTAGTTGTCGCTGGCTATGCGACACTGTCGCACGCGATAGTTTGCGATGGCCAGCGCAACTGGCCATCGCAGAAAACAGTTCGATAACTAGCGCTGGATAGCGACAACTAGCGCTGGATAGCGACAACTAGCGCTGGCCAGCGCTGGCCAGCGCTAAGCGATAGCCAGCGCTGGCCAGCGCTGGCCATCGATATCCAGCGCAAAATTTTTGCGCTATTACTCGTCAGCTAGCGCTGGCCAGCGCTGGCCAGCGCTAACCAGCGCTAGCCAGCGCTAACCAGCGCTAGCCAGCGCTAGCTGACGAGTAATTTCAGTAATATCGCAACTATATTGCGCTGGCCAGCGCTGGCTGACGAGTAATACTAATATCGAGCGTGCTAAATCACTCTACAGTCGATCTTCGAGATTGTTCTAAAAGGGCCCACGATGGTTGTAACCAACTTGAAACTTCAATCGATGTATTTTCGGACGTTAATTCTGAATCAACCCCCATGGGCCCATGACATAGCTATAGGGTTAAAATGCTCTCCTGACGAGATATTGGCGAAAAACTGTACATGTATCGATCACGTGATATGACCGTATAAGGAAGTTAGTCTAATTTCTCGTTATTGTTAGGGTTTCAGCATATGTTTTTGTTAAGGATTGGGTTAGGGTTAGGGTTGGGATCAAATTAGAGGGTTAGGGTTTCGAAAAGTCGTTCAGAACCAGCTAGAGTCAGAGAATGGGTTAAAAAGTCACGTGACAGTCGAGTGTAAAGTGATTAATCATCATCCGAGTAATATATGATTTTGATACATTGCGCTGGCTAACGCTGGCTAGCGCTGGATAGCGACAACTAGCGCTGGATAGCGACAACTAGCGCTGGCTAGCGCTGGCCAGCGCTGGCCAGCGCTAGCTGACGAGTAATAGCGCAAAAATGTTGCGCTGGATATCGATGGCCAGCGCTGGCCAGCGCTGGCTATCGCTTAGCGCTGGCCAGCGCTGGCCAGCGCTAGTTGTCGCTATCCAGCGCTAGTTGTCGCTATCCAGCGCTAGTTATCGAACTGTTTTCTGCGATGGCCAGTTGCGCTGGCCATCGCAAACTATCGCGTGCGACAGTGTCGCATAGCCAGCGACAACTAGCGCTGGATAGCGACAACTAGCGCTGGATGGCGACAACTAGCGCTGGATGGCGACAACTAGCGCTGGATAGCGACAATTATCGAACATATATATTTTGCGCTGGCCAGCGTTATCCAGCGCTGGATAGCGACAACTAGCGCTGGATGGCGACAACTAGCGCTGGATAGCGCTAGTTGTCGCCATCCAGCGCTAGTTGTCGCGTTTTGACTATCGCAAAAGAACCCTACAGTCTTGATGCAAAACCAAATTGTGACTCTGGAATTCTGATTAAATGGATTGCAAAGCTAGCTTCCTTTTTTCCTCAATGTTCAAGTTTTTATTGTATGTCAAGGCACATCTTTAAATTTCTGACATCTTTTAGATATGATATCTGCATCTGATCTGCTTAATCTGTGGGTTGTGTTCAATTTCCTCGATGTCATTTATCTGAAGTGCATACTAATTGTTTACCAAATTTTTAACAGAGGAATTATAATTGTATCATGCTGTGAAAATTCCAGTTTTAGTTGGTGTCAATCAATTTTATCTTGGACTGTTCATTTTTTGTTAATATAATATGTAGATACAATATTATAGGTATTATAAAATATACAACTTGTATCTGATACAAGACAAATATATTATATACGAGTTCTATTTACAGAAGAAGTTAAAAATCAAATCTTATCAGATCATGGCAGATGATGACGCAGAAACGTACAAACTGTGGAGGGTAAGGAAGACATTGATGCACCTTTGTCACGACAGAGGCTATCTTGTCACTCAAGATGAACTGGACTTCACTTTAGACCAGTTTAAAGAACAATTCGGTGACAGACCGAGTGAAGGAAAACCATCAAGGAGTAGTTTATCTATATTGGTTGCTCACAATGACGACCCTACTGATCAGATGTTTGTCTTTTTTCCTGATGATGAAAAAGTAGGGGTTAAAACTGTCAAAGCTTATTTTACGAAGATGCAGCAAGAAAATATAATGAGATCGATAATAGTTGTGCGAGGTGGTATGACACCATCTGCCAAAGGTGGGATTGTAGACATGGCCCCTAAGTACATCATGGAGATGTTTCTTGAAACAGAGCTTCTTATTAACATTACAGAGCATTCTCTTGTGCCAGAACATAGTGTGATGACTGACGACGAGAAGAAAGAGCTAATGCAGAGATATAGGCTGAAGGAAGCACAGTTGCCACGTATTCAAACATCAGATCCTGAGGGGTAATCAGGGACGTGTAATGAATAAATGTACGTGTCCTTCCACAATACCTCTTAGTTGGGTCGCACGTATTGGGGAAACTGAGATCGCTATCGTGTAACTAGAAGCAGTATATGCAATAACTTAGGTGGTAGGTGATAGGCAATATGAAATTACAAAAATCTTACTATAACTTTATCCCGTCAACCCATGGAATTATCAATTTAACGGCTGGTGGTTGGTGTATCGTTTGTCGTACTCAAAAACGTTTTTCGCGGTTGCGAATGCCGGCCCATTGAGAAAAACTTTTTACTTTGTATTTTACCATTATAAAGTGTGATTAGTCGGATATAGTACTGAGTTCAAAACAGTCCCCGAAACGAAAAAGCAAACATTTGATTTTTGTTTCCGGGCGACTGATTCGTCGATGGGCCGGCATAATATTTGTTGTCGAGTAGTGTTGAATACTCATATTAACATGATTATTGATTTCAATTTAGGAAATTGTATGTAAATATCTTTGTCCAAGTTAATTGATAATGAGAATGCACCCCAGCACTGGTGCCGCGGCGGCGGCTTGATGTTAGCGGCTACAAGCTTTGAAGCTGCGGCAGGTGCAGAAAAAATGCCGCGCCTGCGTTCAGCGTGGGGCTTTTCGTTTTGATTTTACAACTGACAAGCAAAACTTTTAATGTTTATTAATGGAATTATCGGATATTTATAATCATATTGTTATTGATTCTTCTGTGGAAATAAAAAATTGTTTTAATTAAAAATTGTATTTACTTTGTTTACAAGTAATGATTCTTCCTGTTCTAAAAATAGTGGAAATAGCGTAGCAGAGTTTTACCCATTTTTGAATTGTTAAGGGAATTTTTTTGGGAATTCTTAAGGGTTGATTTTATATAGGGTCATCTGTTATTTTATGTGTATATTGTTTGAAAATTTTTATATTGTACCCAACACCATCAGATGATACAAGCCAAGCGATCCATTCCTCATAGAAAGGTCCTTCATAGCACATCAACAGCAGTACAATAATAAGAATTGGCACGAAATTCCTTCCTCCAGTCATTGTGGTATTCATACATCTGATGAATGTGCCAGCATGGAGGTCTTGTTGCTAGCAGACTCTCCCATATCTCAAGACCATGCGCTATTGTCATATTGCGTGACGGATTAAATTCTGAAGCCCCATTTATGACTGTCAAAATCTATGGATCGTACTGGAGGCAAGTGTGGTAGTCTCGTACTATTATTTGTCCAGATCCTTTTGTTCTGTGGGGTCAACTTTACAAGGTTTTGGAGGATTAAACTAATTTATACAGGTCTCGAAAGAACTACAAAAAAATACTAAGAAAACTTTACCTAATTTGTATCCTAAAACTTGTTATTTTGTATCGAATTTCTTTCAAGGAAGATAACGCCACCTTGAGAATTCTCACTTATAGTAGCTACAGTGAATTGGTTTTACATCTTTGTCAGATTTCTTATCAGGAAAACATAATTTGCCATGGGAACTATCTATTTCCTTTATTTTCTAAATGCAAGCTAGCCTAAGAGCTTTAAGACCCAATGAATCACATCGATTTAACAAAATATTTGGAGTTGAAATTATATAGGCCATCACTCTGAACCGAATAAGCATACCTAATTTTAAAAATACTTGGTGCACATTGGGATAACACCGGGGGGGCACACCTTGGGCAAGCTAATAGTGAATATTATATTGGATTAAGTTTCCCAATCTAACTTCATCAGTTAGAGAACAAATAAAACACTTATAAAAAAGCCAACACTCTTCTCTCTTTAAGGTTGGATTTGTGTTTTTTTTGCATTAATAAAAGTTAAACTTGATTTACCATGCCCCAATTTACTGCAAACCCTGATTTACTTCTAACCCCGATTTACTGCAATAATTTTAAGGCAGCATTTTTCTTTCTCAATAGGGCTTTGCATTCATAATATAAGATCTTCAAAACCTTGATCTTACATAGCCCACAATTTACTGTGGCTGTTTCCTTTTCCCACAAACTACATTGTAAATCTGGGTTTTACTGTATTTATTCTTTATTTAATCATTATCCTTCAGTAAGATATGTAGAAGTCGGGTGGAGAAAGAAGTTGACATACTTCCGCTAATGGACAGTAATTGTGAACAGAAACCTTTTAATCTAGATGATCAATCTCATTCATCTCGGATTGATACAAACGCAAACATGTGATAATAGCTCTAGGCCTTTCATATTGTCCTTTTTACCTGTTTGTCTTGTTGAGGAGAACTTTTTTGAGCACAATACCTTCCGGAATGAGAAAAGTACCCTTGCCCAATCGTTAATCAGCTGAGTGCAAAGTTGTGCTGCACTCTCAGCCACTTTTTCTGATGGAGTGATGTACAATATTATCGTAGACCTATTGGTTTCTCTGCATCCACTCATGCTGATGCTTCCTAAACTGGCTGGAATTTTACCACAGTATCGGAGAAGATAAAACGGCGAATGGACAGCACTGTTATTGATCAGGTGTATCATTTCAGCGAAGAATCTCTTATGCTACCACCAGAATTGCATTCAGGCCAGACATAAGGTGATACCAGTATAGTGGTGACGTAAGTTCTGTTCACTTGTGAGGAATTGACTGCTCTCATTGGTGAATTTACCCAGGCTTTATTATTCTGTTGTTGTCTGAAATACCATTGAAATGGGAGGTGTGAAAGTATAACCCTCAGCTGTTATACAGTCCTTACGAAAAGAAGCAAATCCTGGACTAGTGAGGGTAAAATGGGCCGTAACAGGAGGGATACAATCCCCCAAAAAAAGACAAAAGAAACATTCTGGGAGATATGTTTTGTCATAGGAAAAACCTGAAAAAGGCAATGAGAGCTTGAAGATAGCTGCAAGAACTAGCTATCATCGGGAGACAGCTGGTGGATGGTGCCGCATATGAAGGCCAGTGTTGTGCGATTGCATGGATGTCAATTAGACGAGGCTGAGGTCTAACCCTGCTCATGGGAGGTGGCAAAACTGCATTCTTTCAGGAAAGTCTTTGAACAGTGCCTCATCTGATCCGGAAATGAAGGAGTACAGAAAATCTTAAAGGCTGTTCGGACGTATAAATTCACATGGAAAGATAACGGGAAGCATCCTGATAATGCTTGAAAAGCACTTTGAAGTTTGTCAGATTGATGATGAATTTAGAATGTAAAAAGGCGGGCATGTGTCATACTTAATTCAGAAATATTATACTGTTTTGGACGATCTAACCCAGTTGAGAAGCTGCAATTTTTCTGTACTATTCGCTCTTTGGATGAGCAAATGGGGATGCACAGAAACTAATACAGTTATTTCTTGCGAAGAGCCGCAATTGAATCTATTCATGAAAAAATGGCTTTCAAGAGCATACACAAATTTCTCATCTTTACTATGCAATGTATAGAGAGGTAAGGTGTTGTTCCTGGTAATCAACAGTGCGCATTTGGTTGCCTCAGATACAGAAGCTTGTGCTCCAATGATCTGATCTCAACCAGTTGACAAATTAGCCAAACAGGACAGTGTTGTTAAAGATGGCATGGGCATGTTGCAAAACTTTTTAATCACATCTGGACAATGACGTCAACTCGTATTCTAATCCTTACTTCATGAATAACACAGGCTTGGTCATTACTTTGATTGTGAAGCACCAAACATACCTGTTTGCAGGAAGATTTTGATCAAGTCTTTAGGGAAACTCTTTGAACCTCGATTAAACAAACAAAACTCAACAGATTTCTATTCAATCCTAATTGTTGACTAGCAAAGAGCAAAGAGGAAGAAAGAAAACTTTGTTAATTGGGTTTGTGTGAATTAGGAGAAGGTCTTGCTGATGTAAACTGGAAAATCACACATCTGCACTTCTGCAACTGTTTGAAATAAGATGCATAGTGGAGGGAGTATTGCGGAATGCTACCCCTGGTGGCACCATTACATTATACCCTAAGCAGACAGTTGTATAGTCCTGACAATCAAACCTCGTCAACCAGGTACACTTAAAAACTGGTTGGAATTAAACCTTCAACTATGGTGGTGTCCCTCTTCACTTTTAAGTGACATGTGCCTGGAAAAACTATATCAGTATCAAAACCAATGCCTCTATAGTTTGTGAAGGTTGATATTCCAGGCTACACTAACTTCTGTACGAGGGGGGAAGAGAGAAAGCTGTCTGCAGGATAGCTAACATCAGCTGTTTTCCCATCCAGCATTTTGATGTTATCGACAAACTGTTCCAGGACCGGTCTTGTCTTTCAGTTGGTGAGGTTCCAGTTCCACTTCTTCCGGGTACATTTGTGATATTGAAATTAGTATCAACACAAAATAGGCCATGAAAGGAGAGCTGAGTGTTTTGACAGTAGACCCGAGAGAACCCAATCACGTCCCGGTACCATCTATGAGAACTCGTCAGAGTTTGATCGAAGGAGACGATGCCACCTATTGTTAGGACGTGCTAGACAGACCAAAAATGTGAAAATGTGTTTGTAGAGGAAACTTTTCTCTGAGCTTCAGATATTATTGATAAGGAGAAAGAGTATTTCCGACAGCTTGATTCAATCTTTTACAGCTCAAATAATATCTTCTGTATCAGCTAGCTGGTTACTCACATTTCTCAAGCACTCTCTGATAGCAGCAAATGCCAATGCATCTCGTCTTTAGCTCAATGTGTCCTCAAAGAATGGAACGAAACGTTTGCTGCGAATTTACTTTTTGTAGATTTGGTGACTGTTTGCTAAGGATGTTGCTCTAGACAGGGGTACCGCTGTGATAACTCCCCAAACATGTTCATCATAGGGTTAAGTTCTCTGACTACTGGATCCTCGATTTAAATATATCCCATGGAAGTTGGTGATAGGCAAGGAAGAGTAAATGTTATCGAGTCAGTTCCTCAGTATACTGACCTTACAAATGCATTAAAGAGAAAATGATCATTTCATGAACGGCTGACCAGACCTGGAGAAGAAAAAACACAAAGTGTCATTGGGAACACCTTTTACGGCT